TGTCATTGTTGTTTGGCGGGCCCGGGCTGGATCCGAACCCACCAGCTCAGGTGTATGTGGCTGGCTCCTTAGCCACTTGAGCCACAGGCGCCGAGCCATTCACTGAGTATTTGTTAAGCAGCTTCTGTGGGATGGCTCGGCTGTGGTCAGAATGCTGCCTTTGCCGATATAGAGTCAGCATCTGGTGGTGGAGATGAACGTCTGAGCCGGGACACTGCACAAGGCCGAGATCAAACAGAGCAGAGGCATCGGCTCCCGACCTCCCCCCAGCCACATCTTTACAGGCTTGGGTCGAGGGCTGGGTGCACAGAGAAAGGTGTTAGGGGAGGGGTGGAAAGGCGACTGGAGGGTGGGCATGTTAAGTGTGAAGAAGTGTGGTCTGTCTTCTGCGCCCCAGAAAACCTGGGAGATGCCTGTTTAAGCAGAGCTGTCCCTGCCCCTGTCCTCCACCAGGGGGCGCTAACGCCGAGGGCGGGAAGGGGGCGCTGCGAGAAAAGCTCCCGCATTTCATAGGGGTGCCCGTGAGAAGGAGGTGCCTGATCTTTCGTTCCTGGGATGGATGTTCTGCTCAGGCCCTAGGTCTGCTGACTAAGACTCCAGCCCCCCAGGAAGGGCAAGAGGTACTCCCCAAGACAGGGAGAGCAGGAGATGAGGAGGGCCGCGCAGGAAGGGGTGGGCACCCCCTTGGGTTTCCGGAAGTCGGTAAGGTGTCCCAGGGGCTCTGAGCTGGTACCCGAGGACTTCGCAGAGGCTGCAGGAGTAGGAGAAGGGCACAGGCTGGGAGGAATGAGGCTGGAGGCCAGCGGGAGGTGGGCACACATTCAGGTCTGCAGCATTGTTGTCGTGTGTCCTTATGTGATGCGGTCTGGGAGGGAGATGTCTGTCGGGCTCTCTGCCCATTCGAGGTTGCTCAGATGTCGCCTCCTCGGAGAGACCTAACCTGACCACCCCGTCTAAAATAGCACTCACAGTCCTGCTTTAGAGCCATCCTCTGCCTTATTTTCTTAAGACGATATTCACTTAATTCTATCTGCTGTTACATTTGGTTGAACCATATGAAATGATTAAATACCAACAATTTTGTATGGTTTAGCCCAATTCCAGTTGTTCGTGGTTTTTTATCGGCCTCTCCACTAGAATGTTGTTGTTGTTTTTTAATCCATTCCTTTTCTGTTAACATTCTCTGCACCCAGACCAGTCCCTGGCATAAAGTAGACCCCGATAAATAAAAGTTGAATGAGTGGGTGAATGAATCTGTGGGCTGGGTATTTGGCAAAAACCTTAATAAAGGATTGGATGTGAGTTGGAGTAGATCCCACCCTGGGGAGCTGCTGCTGGGGCAGGGACTGAAATGCTAAAGGAGGAGAGGAGCGCTGGCACTGAGCAGTGGGAGACCCTGGGGAAGGAGCAAACTGGTGAGGCCCACCATGTGCCAGCTACCAAATCAGACACTTTTCCTGTCATCTCCTTTAGTCCTCATGACAGGCCTGTGAGATGAGTATGATCACCCAATCCCATTTTACAGATGAGGAAACTGAGGCTTAAAGAGGCCAACTAGCTTGTCTGAGATCATACAGCTTAACAAGTCACAGCACTGCTCACATACTCAGTCTTTTTTTGCATCTCCCTGCCTCCTGAAACCGAACCATTTTAGTTTCATGGAGTTTTGAAAGCCCCAGAGCATGTGAATCTTTCAGAGATGGAGCTAGAGCTCTTGGTTTCTTTGCCTGTTCCAACCCCCGGGGCTGGACTCCATAGGTGTTGTGCTTTCTCATTTTTATGGCTAACTCATGGCCAATGGTGGTAAGGATGTGGATGCTGGCCCTGCCATTTGGGACAAGAAGGGCAGTTTATCATTTGAGCAGTTGCTTTATTCCTGAGGCAAGTTGGAGTTTTAGGGGGCTAGGATGGAGGACATGACAGCCTCATAATCATGTGGGTCTTTTGTCTCAGTCTCAAAGAAGTCATCGATTTCCAACCCATGTGCCTTCCTTCCAGAGCCTCACAGTCTAGCAGGGAAGACAACACCACAGTGACAAGCCACTTTCACGTGCTTGTCCGGCACAGGCATTCTAGTCAGTGGTTATATGTGCAGACTCAGGAGGCAGACACAAGGTTTGAAGGTCATGTTTACCTTCCTAGTTTTGTGCTTCCTTAGGCAAATTAATTAACCTCTCTGAGCCTCAGTCTCTCCATCTGTACTAGGATGTAATAATATTGGGACAGACCAAAGTAGACCTGATCTGGGAGCTGCCCAGTCCTATCAGCCAGGATTTGGTTGCTCACAGCTGGCCAGGCACAGCTCAGTCTTGGGGTGCTTCTGTTGAATTTCAAAGGTATCAACATCAGACAAGGCTATCTGTGACCAGTGTGGATCAAGACAAAAGCCAGACTACATAATCATGTCTGAACACAGACAAAACATGAATATTGTCCAAACCACAAAAAATGACCAAACACCCCCCGGACAGTTAATCTGAGTGAAGGCTGATTCTTTACTAGTTGTAGCTCTGCCTTGCTCTAGTCTGCCCTTCTTCTAGGTAGAATTTATTATGAAGATACACAATCTTAGTATCACCCTCACTTCCTGACAGCCTCCAATCCAGAACCAAGCCTCGCTTCCTTAACCCTCCCCAAATCACCTAAGTCCAAACCTTATAAGTCCTTTCTGACACCCCCTTACTGAGACACCCCACGATCCCTGTGGTACCTGATCTCCCTCACAGCAACAAGCAAGAAATTCAGTGTCTTCCCCACGGTGTGTTTCTGGGGCTCTCTGGTTGGAGACATTAAAGTTCCTACCTCTCTGGGTTCTTGTGAGGGATATGCTTACACTGTACTTGGAATGATACATTCCTCACACTTTTTTAAATATGTTTGTCATACTTTAATATTATCCCCATTTTACAAAGAGGATACTGAAGCTCAGAGAGGGGAAGGAACTTTGCCCAACATCACACAGCAGATAGTGACAAGAGCCAGGAGGGAAATTCAGGTCTCATTCCAAAGTCAGTGTCCCAAACCCCTGCCTCCACATTAGCAGGGCAGACACCAATATACAACATTGGGTCAGTGTCTGGAGAGAAGAACAAAGTGAGCTTGAAGCTCAAAGAGAAGAGAGTCTTGGGGCTGGGGGGAGGCAGGGCCTCCAAGACATCCCGAGTGATCCCATCCTCCCATTCTCCCATTCATGACTTCCCTGACTGGATCTTCCGAGGCTACATGGCTGCTGAGTAAACACAGGCCCAAGGTAGGGGTCAGTGTCAGCAGCTGAGGCCTGAGTCACTTCCTGATACTTGCTCAAGAGGCATCTGTAGCCACAGCCAGAGTGGCCAGCGTGTGCCCTCAAAGGATTGCACTCACTTGGGCAATGAGCACTTCTCTGGTATTCCTCACATCCTCCGCTATACACAAGTGTTTGAGACATGCAGTAGAGGCTTCAGCCCTGACCTGGCGTCTGGCCCAGATCCCAGCCCCTTTCTTTTCTGGATCCTCAAGCTAGAAGGAAATCTGAGTCCCCTGGAGAATGCTCTCTTGCTAGCCCTAAAATCTGGCCTGGTGATTCTGAAGCTGAAGAACTCTGTTTCAACTTCAGAATCAGGGTAACTTCCACTGGTACCACTAACCCCAAAGGACCAAAACTCCTGTAGGGCTCCTAGGCGCGTAACCCTTCCCTTCTCCTCCCACAGAGTATCAAGGGCAGAGTAGGCAGTAAGGCAGGGAAAAGGTTGAGGAGTATGTTAGATACCCCAGGGCAGATTGTACTGAGAGAGACAGGGTTTGATCACCAGACATGTCCTTCTGATGTGGGCAAGGCCATACCATTTATGGAGCAATGCCCCCTCAACTTGGAGACACTGCACAGCCTTAGAACCAAGAGCTTGAACTCTAGAACCAGGCTGTGTTAGCTTCTTCACCTAGCCCTGCCCTTACCAGCTGTGTAACCTTGGGCAAATTACTTAACCTCTCTATACTTCAGTTTCTTCATCCCTACAATGAGGATAATAATGGTACTGACTCAGGCTTCTTCCCAGGATTAAGTGAGTTGTATATGGAAAACACTTAGTATAATGACAGGCACATGGCAAATACAAGTGTTTATTAAATAAATTTTTTTTCACTTCTAATGGGCTGACTCTTCCATTCATTCTCCACATATTTATTGATATCCTACTGTGTGCTAGAGATGAATAAATCAGATTCCCTGCCTGAAATGCTTGTTGGGTATTTTTCTGTGATCCCTGCACTCTACTCCAAAATGCTCTAGGCCAGGGATCCTCAAACTTTTTAAACAGGGGGCCAGTTCACTGTCCCTCAGACCATTGGAGGGCCAGACTGTAGGCCCTGGGATGAGTCGGCTGCTAAGCAGGACAGGCAGCGGTTGCAAAAACACCCGTCGGGCCGGGTAAATGTCCTAGGCGGGCCACAGTTTGAGGATGCCTGCTCTAGGCTGTGCCTTCTGGTGTAGGATTGCATGGGAGGCGTTAGGGTCTGTGGACTCCCTAGTGCAGATCCCCAGCTTGCAGGCCACTACAAATTTTGCTCCTTGCTGAAGACACCTTCTCTCCCTTTGACAAAGTGAAGCAAGAAGTCCCTACCATTTCCATAGCCCCAGGCCAGAAAGGGGCATCCAGAGCCCTTGCTCCCCAAGGGCCTTTATGATTTAATTTGAGCACCCAATCTCCTTCAGGCTGCACAGCCACCAGACTTAGGTGGCAGAGGGCTCTGGTTTACTGTTGCCCTCATAAGGCATTAGGAAGCCAGCAAAAACTTCAAAACTGAACAGCTGAACCTGCATGGATATTTGGTGTTACAGATTAGTGCTACTAATTTTAGGTTTAAGAATGGTTTTGTGGGCTCAGCGCCTATAGCTCAACCGGCTAAGGCGCCAGCCACGTACACCTAAGGTGGCGGGTTCGAATCCCCAGCCCGGACCCGCCAAACAACAATGACGGCTGCAACCAAAAAATAGCCGGGCGTTGTGGCGGGCGCCTGTGGTCCCAGCTACTTGGGAGGCGGAGGCAGGAGACTCACTTGAACCCAGGAGTTGGAGGTTGCTGTGAGCTGTGATGCCAGGGCACTCTACCCAGGGGGACAGCTTGAGGCTCTGTCTCAAAAAAAAAAAAAAAAAAAAAAAAAAAAAAAAAAAGAATGGTTTTGTGAAGCTGGGCATGGTGTCTCACACCTGTAATCCTAGCACTCTGGGAGGCTGAGATGGGTAGATTGCTTGAGGTCAGGAATTCAAGACCAGCCTGAGCAAGAGCAAAACCTGGTCTCTAAAAAATAGCTGGGTGCTGTTGTGGGCACCTGTAGTCCCAGCTACTTAGGAGGCTGAGACAAAATTGCTTGCGGGGCAACGCCTGTGGCTCAAGGAGTAGGGCACCTGCCCCATATGCCAGGGGTGGCAGGTTTAAGACCCGCCCTGCTCAAAACTGCAAAAAAAAAAGAAAGAAAATTGCTTGAGCCCAAGTTTGAGGTTGCTGTCAGCTATGACGCCAGAGCACTCTACCCAGGGTGACTGAGTGAGACTCTGTTGCAGTTTAAAAAAAATGATGTTGTGGTTATGTGCTTTAAAAAATATTTACTTTTGAGAGACACAAAAATATTTATGGATGAAATTATACAATGCTTGGCTTTTGCTTCAAAATAAAGGAAGTAGAGGAGGGCAGATGAAATAGAATTGCCTATGAGATGCTGCAGATGCTGAACTGAGGAATTAGGGTCATGGGGTTCATGAGAAGCACCCATTAAAGTGTAGTCCGGAGGCCTCTGAGCCCGGGAGCTGGTTGGAGATGCAGAATCTTGGCTCCACCCCAGGCCTACGGAATCTGCATTTTAATCAGCTAAAATTTCCAAGGGATTCCTGTGCATTTTCAAGTGTGAGAAGCACTGGGCGATTCTATTTTCCTCTATTTTAAAATTTTTCCATGGTACAAAAGTTATGAGGTTTGTTTTCCTAAACTGTTTTCAAAATCTCCGCTTATCCTACAGAGCCCAGGTCTCTCTCTTTCTTCTTCGTGTGTCTAAGCGGCCCCACCACCGGTGGGCACTTGGCCAGCGGCATTCCATTCCTGCAGGGCAGCCTCTGTCCTGGGACCCGCACCTGCCGCCGTGCCTCCGTCGGGCCTCGCGGCCACACACTCCAGGTGCCGGGCGGAAAGGAGGAGCGCAAAGCAGCCCAGCCGGCCTGGGCGTGGCAGCCAGGGCGCACCTGGGCGAGGCGACAGGTGGGAAGGTCTGGGGCCAGAGCCCCCGCCCTCACGGGGAGGAGCGGGAGGCGCGGGGCGGACCGGCCGGAGACACGGGGACCGGGGTTCTGGGAGCCCTGAGGGCCGCAAACGCAGCTGCAGCACTGGGGCCTCCGAGATTGCGTGCCCGGCATGAGCCTCACCCGGAAAAGGGGCTTCTACAAGCAAGATGTCAACAAAACCGCCTGGGAGCTGCCCAAGACCTATGTGTCCCCGACGCACATCGGCAGCGGGGCCTATGGCGCCGTATGGTGAGACCTGGGCCGCGCGGCCGCTGGGGGCGTGGGGGACGCCCGGCCGTCGGGGCCGGCACGCGGCGAGAGCCCAGGGACCTGGAGCCTCCAGACAAGCGGCAGGCGGGGGTGGGCGTCCGTCTCCGGGACCTCCCTTGGCTGGCCCCTCTCGAGCACCACCTTGACCGAGGACCCCAAGGCCCAGCCTCCTCTTCCCGGGATTTTTCTGGGCCAAGCCTGGAGCTGGGAGCAAAACATAGTATAAGCCAGAAACCTCAAGCCTGACAGAGGCAGGCCCAGGGCCACCCCGGCGCCATCTCACTTTTCTCACTGGATGGCTGTGTGGGGTCTCTGTAGGTTGAATTAGGACTAGGTCTGGTTCGCCAGGACTTGGGGATTGTTGAGGATGGCTATACTGAGGCCCAAGAGAGTGGGGTGACTTGCCAAATAGCATAGAGAAAATAGAGAAGAGACTCCTGCCCTCCTCAGGATCCTTTGGGCATTAAACTGTTCCTGCCCCTGGTGCAGTAGTGCATGGCTTCCTGCCTCTGCCCCCTGTGTCCTACAACTCTCCCACATTCAGGGTAGAGGGCATCACTGGGCTGGCCCCTCCAACAGTGAAGGCCAGAGGGGCCCAGGAGATACCACCCAGCATCAGGAGGAAAGCCGTTGCCTGCTGACCTGCCTGTGTCCCCCACAGTTCTGCCATTGACAAGCGGTCAGGGGAAAAGGTGGCCATCAAGAAGCTGTGCCGGCCCTTTCAGTCTGAGATCTTCGCCAAGCGGGCCTATCGGGAGCTGCTGCTGCTGAAGCACATGCAGCATGAGAACGTAGGCTGGGCTGCGGCTCTGGGGAAGAAGGGAGGGCAGGGGCCTGGCGGTCCTGACCAGGCCTCTCCCAGCACAGAGAGCTCTGGACAGGAGCAGAAGGAGAATCTCCTCCCTGCTCTACCTATCCAGCTTCTCACCTCATTATGAAAATGAGGGGGTGCCAAGACCTCCCCTACCCACCTTCTAGGAAGAGTGCAAAGGGTATTTTTGGCAGCACGAGCTTTGTGAGGTACAAACTTACTGTCTCCTTATGAGGAAATAGGCACAGAGTAACTTTGTAATTTGTTCCATGTCTAAGAGCATGTGGCCGCTGGACTAGAATCCTGGTTAATGTTTTCACATGAGACCCTGATAATAATAACAGGAAAAATAAATATTTAATTGAGCACTTACTATGTGGCAGACACTGTTCTAAGAGCTTTGCATAAACTGGCTTGTTTAATTCTCACACTGTCACATGAGATTAATACTACTGCCCCCATGTTACATATGAGGAAACTCAGGCACAGAAAGTCTCCCATGTTATATGGTTAGTCAGTAGCAGAGCTGGGATTTGAATCTCAGCAGCCTGCATATGTGACTGTTAGAGACTGTCCTGCCTGATAGAAACAGCCAGGCAACCAGGCTTTGCTTCAGAATACCCACATGGAGGGCAAACATTTCAAATAGTGCCTTCAAAACATTGTAAGCACTCTTCAGCAAACCCCTTCCCTGTGGCCAGGGGTGATCTTGCCTCTGGCTCTGAATCAAGCCTGTGACAGGATGGATATGGCTGAGACCCACAGTCAAGGGCAAGATCCTGCTAGCTGGAGAGCTTCTTCCCTGTTCCTTCTCTCCCCCCCCCAAACCCTCCCCTTATGATTTCCTACTACCTGCTTGAGTTGAGACTGGGTTTGTGCTCCTAAACCCTAGACTTGGGAGCTGTGATCCTCTTTGCAGATCTCTCCTTCTCCCCAGCCTGATTCTCTATCACTGTTTATTGCAAGCTCCCTCCCAATTGTGGGGTTCCTCTTTGGCCTCTACCCCTTTAGCTGCTTCCAAGAAGGCTGCTTCCTGCTGGAGATGGTATATTAGGAGAGGTTGAGTGGTCCTGTGCATGACTGGAGCCCCAAAGGAGGTAGGAGGGGGCAGTTTCTGTCCAGCCCTCACTGATTACTTTTCCCCAGGTCATTGGACTCCTGGATGTGTTTACTCCGGCCTCCTCTCTGCGCAACTTCCATGACTTGTGAGTTGGGCTGCACTGGGTTGTAGAGTATTTTCAGGCCTTACTTGCCCTCTGGGGCAAGTTGGGGAGGGTATAGATTCTTTCTTCTGCGTAGGAGGGTCTCCTACCAGGGATGGGCTTTGTGGGCTGCTTGCCTGGCAGGACTGTCCGCACTGCTGCTTCCCTGTTTGCTCAGCTTTAACACCATGAAGACATACCTATGAGTCCTCACAGGGTTTGCACCAAATCCCTTCACCTTTACCTGGGGGTCCCCACTGTGGTTCTGGATCTCTGGGCTCTTTCTAACATGAAGCAAGGATCAGGAAGCCTTGGCCACCTCTGGCTGATAGAGTGTTTGATAGAGTTACATAGAACCAGAAAACATAGGTGCTACATGAATGGCTTTACTAGTGCAGTGCCTAAGTAGTACTGGACTGTTTGGACATTTCCAGAAGTTCAGTGTGATAAGTTCTGGGTGCAGCTGGTTTGGTCAAGCTAAGAGTCTGGACTTGATCCTATAGCCAGACCCAAGTCCATGGAGGTTTTGAGCAGGGAGGTGATGTGATCAGATGGGATTTTGGGGATACACTCTGGCAGCGCTCTGTGAGAAAGGAGCACAGGAGGGAAAGCCCCAGGACCAACGTTAGTGACCCAGATGTTGATCTAAAGTACAGGTGCGAGGCATGGTAGCACATGCCTATAATCCCAGCTACTGGGTAGGCTGAGGTGGGAAAGATCAGTTGAGGTCAAGAGTTCAAGACCAGCCTGAACAACCTAGCAAGACCTTGTCCCTAAACAAAAAATAAACAAATTTTAAAATTAAAAAATAAGTAGAGATGACAATGCTGAGAGCAGACTGTAGACCCATTTGGGAGGCAGGACCGACCAAACGTATCTGATGGGGTGCAGTGGTTGTGTGAGGTGGCAAAGGTGGGAGATGCCCGGGTTCCTGCTGGAAGTGCAAAGTGAAAGATAAACAGATCTTAGGGGAAGGATAATGAGCACCATTTTGGACACTTCACTTCTAAAGATTGCTCACATGTTTAATCAATAGTGGCAAATAAAGGGTGGTACCTGTGGCTCAAAGGAGTAAGGCGCCAGCCCCATATGCCAAAAGTGGCAGGTTCAAACCCAGCCCTGGCCAAAAACTGCAAAAAAAAAATAGTGGTAAATAAAAAAGAACCTCAGGAGAAGGTGTAGCTAGAGAGATGGATTTGGATTGAAATAATCACCTGTGGAAGATAGTCAAATCTGTGTAACAGGTAAATGTAGAATGTGATAAGACAGAGGTTCTCAACCTGTGGGTCGCGACCAATGAAAATACATCCTGCATATCAGATATTTACATTACGATTCATAATAATAGCAAAATTACAGTTAATAAAGTAGCAATGAAAAGAATTTTATGGTTGGGGGTCACCACAACATGAGGAACTATAGTAAAGGGTCGCGGCATTAGGAAGGTTGAGAACCACTGTGATAAGATAATGTTGTTCAGATATCAATCTTAGGAGAAGGTACAAGAGGATGAGCAGATGAAGAAACCTGAGGGAGCTTGATCAGGGCAGAGGAGAGTCCGGCACAGAATTTTGAAGAAGTATCAGACTGGGAAAGGTCAAACAGGAAGAAAGGGAGTAGTGGTGTATTTGTCAAGTGATCACTGGTGACCTTGAGCTGAGCAGTTTAAATGTAGGATGGAAGAAGAGACCAAGTTGGGGGGACAGGGGGACTGGGAGCTAGGGCAGTGGAGTCAAGGAGTGTGGTCCCCCCTTTCCAGAAGTTGGGTAGTAACATAGGGTGCAGTGGTTGCTTGAACAAGCAAAGTCACGGAAGGTAGTTTGAGCACAGTGAGACTTCCAGAAGTTTGTCTGCCAAGAAGAACGAACTGGGGGCCACAACAGGTTCACAGGAGGGGTCTACACATGGAGCAGGGCCCCTGGAGGAGTGGGGGGCAGTGTGGTTGGGCTGAAGGCTTCTGAGATGCAGAGGCTCACATAGATGGCCTTTATCGCATTCTTTTTTGTTTGCAGTTTTTGGCCAGGGCCAGGTTTGAACCCACTACCCCTGGTATATGGGGCCAGCGTCCTACTCCTTTGAGCCATAGGCGCTGCCCTCTATCACATTCTTTTTAAAGAAAAAAATGTTTATTTTACAATCTTTTTTATTTTTCATTCTGGACTTTGCTGCTACTACCTTGAGTAACAGTTACATTTTGCTGACCTTGACCCATTTTGCAATCTCGTAAGAGGGTGCAAAAACCCAGCCACCTCCTTCTGCCCTCCTGGAAATTGTTTTATTGTTTCCTTCTTGGAAGGGCAGACAAATTGTTTGTTGGTGGAGCCATCTCAGCCAGGCATGACCCTCTGGGGGAGAAAATATTTGGACAGAAGCTGAAAGAAATACTGGCAAATGTTTACAATTCTCAACTGTGGCTTTCTGTGGGGTGCGAAGGAGGGCAGTGAGAAGGTACCTTTAAAGAGCGGGAACACAGCTCCATCTAGTTTTCCTGAGCACACACCAGCTGAAATGCTTACCCTGAGCTCTGTAGCCTGTGGTGGGGGGTCTGGCTTGCAGAGTGGGGCTGGGTTTTATATACTTGAGGTCATCACTGAGGCTGTTCTGCCTCACCCTCATACCCTTCCTTTGAGCACAGACCTGACCTGGGGCTGGGTGGGGCTGGGGACTATTCCAAGAAGCCCTCATGCCTTCCAGCTACCTGGTGATGCCCTTCATGCAGACGGACCTGCAGAAGATCATGGGGATGGAATTCAGTGAGGACAAGATCCAGTACCTCGTGTACCAGATGTTCAAAGGCCTCAAAGTGGGTGGGGGCTTGGAGGGTGGCCGAGGAGGGGCCTCCATGTGGAGACCTGAGGATTGGGGGAGGCTGGAGGAGAGCACACGGTGACAGGATTTAGGTGGTTTCCAAGCCAGCCTCAAATGCTTGGTGTGGAATCTGGGTGATGAATCCCTCTTTCTCTCCCCGACAGTATATCCACTCAGCTGGGGTCGTCCACAGGGTGAGTGTTTTCTCTGCTGTCCCACCCCACTCAGCCGGGGAAGGGGTTCCTATGGCAGACAAGAAGCAGGGAAATGTGGAGGGTGGGGACAGTTCTTGGGAGCATGGAATGTGGATTTTTCAGGCCCAGCCTTGGCCTAGGAAGGCCTGCTCAGAAGAATCGTTGTGTTCTGGGGAACTTTAATGGGGAATTACTGCACACAAAGTGACCCCTGAGCTGGGTGTTTCAGGCTTCAAGAACCAGGAAGATTTAGATCTGGACAGGCCCAGAGAGGACTCAGTCCAGCACTCATTTTACAGTGAGGAGATGGAGGCCCAGAGAGGGCAGGGCACACTGCTGGCAGGACAGGACAAGCTCCCGAATCTGCCTCTCAGCTCAGTGCTCCCTGTCTGTCTTCCCATCCAGGACCTGAAGCCGGGCAACCTGGCTGTGAACGAGGACTGTGAACTAAAGGTGAGTGGGCCACAGCAGGCTCAGCCTGGGGGTGGACAGCTCTCCACCACGGAGCCCCTCCAAGCTGCTCCAGCAGCCTCTTCTCTCAGCAAGCTCCTTCTCCCTATGTCCCCTGAGCCATAGATCCTGGATTTTGGGCTGGCACGGCATGCAGATGCCGAGATGACTGGCTACGTGGTGACCCGCTGGTACCGGGCCCCTGAGGTGATCCTTAGCTGGATGCACTACAACCAGACGGGTCAGTGGACAGCTGCCTGGGAGACAAGGGGGCTGGGCACCTGCCTGGTGGCTTCCTTGGGGCCACCTGCTGATTCTGAGCGGATGATCGGGTCCCAGTCAGAAAGCCCAGGTGACACTCCCCCTCCCTCTGCAGTGGACATCTGGTCTGTTGGCTGTATCATGGCAGAGATGCTGACAGGGAAAACTCTGTTCAAGGGGAAAGATTGTATCCTTTGCCAGAAAAGCCAGACTCCATCTAAGGATTCATTCCTTCAACAGACATTTTATTTAAATAGCTCTTTTTTTCTTAATGCGAGAGTGATACAGGCTCCCTATAGAATAACTTTTAAAAGACAGATAAGCAAAATGATGACAATGAGTCACCTGTCATTCCACCACTATGAAGAGTATGCTTCAAATTTTGGCATCACACACATTGAGCACCTGTGTATGCTGGGCAGACCTTGGATGAGAAGGGACAAGGTCAGCCCTATCCAATTGGCAGTGCAAGGGGTTGGGGGAGGAGATGAGGAAACAGAAGAGGATGATTGACTGGGGTGTGAGTGATTGTTGTGGAGGGGCCCTTCCCAGCCTGGCATGTTAGGAAGCTCTCCTGAGACCTGAATCTGGAAAGATGAGCCTCTTCTGGAAACAGGAGGTGGAAGGTCTGGAGCCTGGGTAGTTGGCCACCACAGTATGTGGGTGGAAGGATAACAGAGCCAAGGGAAGGGCAACCCCTGACTCTCCAGCAGAGATCAAGGATAAGCCTTAACCAGCTGCCAAAGACCTAGACCAGCTGACTCAGATTCTTAAAGTGACTGGGGTGCCAGGTGCAGAGTTTGTGCAGAAGCTGAATGACAAAGCGGTAGGTGGCAAATGGGCACTTGGCTGGCTAGAAGCCAAGTGGACTGGGGGCCTTTGGGAACAGGGCTCACCGGCACCTTCCCACAGCATCCCTCTGCCCTGGCAGGTGCTCTTGCCCTGTGCTCCCTCAGACTCTGACCTGAGCCTTCAGCCCTCCTCTGGGGCTTTTCTGAAATCCCTGCTCTACCCCTGAGGCCAGAGCCCCGGAGTGGTTCCAATGCTCTTCTGTCTTCCAGGCCAAATCCTACATCCAGTCCCTGCCACAGAGCCCTAAGAAAGATTTCACTCAGCTCTTCCCAAAGGCCAGCGCCCATGGTGAGTCTCAGGGCCCATTCCCCCAGGGTCCTTCCCAGTGGGCGGGCACTCCCGGGGCCTGGGCTTAGGCTCAGGCTCTGCTGCTGCAGCCACAGACCTACTGGAGAAGATACTGGAGCTGGATGTGGACAAGCGCCTGACAGCCGCACAGGCCCTCACCCACCCCTTCTTCGAGCCCTTCCGGGACCCTGAGGAGGAGACAGAGGCCCAGCAGCCGTTTGATGATCCCTTAGAACATGAGAAACTCACAGTGGATGAATGGAAACGTAAGAGCCAGGGCCTGGGGCTCTTTCCCTGTCTGCCTGCAGACAGTCTACTTTGCCTCCATCTCCCAGCCTGGCCTTGGCCAGCCCCGCCTGTTCCCTGGAGTCTCTTGCTCTTTCCCTCTGAGTCAGTATTATCACTAGTGTGTTTTTTTCTCCGTGAACTGACTTCCCACTTCGCAAGGTCTAAAGGGAGAATGGGCTCTATCTTGCCCTCAGCACCACCTTATCCACCTTAAACCACGCTGCCTTTCTTAGAGCACATCTACAAGGAGATTGTGAACTTCAGCCCCATTGCCCGGAAGGACTCTCGGCGCCAGAGTGGCATGAAGCTGCAGTGACTTGTCCAGCCCAGCTCCCACTGTGCCCAGGAGCTATCGTGGTGCACCACTGGCCAGACACTGCCCAAGGACCAATATTTATTGATCACTATTGAAGTTTCAACCTTCTCCAAATACAGCCTTTCAAGCAGAGGACAGAAGAGCCCTTCTTGTGTAGTAAACGGGCCTGGTAGATGCAGAATACAAAGATGTTGGTTGGAAGACAATAGCACTGAACATATGGGCCTTATTAAAACACCCATCTGTACAGTCACCTAAGTATGGGGGCTCCTTTCCTTTCTGGCTGTGGTGGGGCTGAGAGGGGTGCTGAGCTGGGCCAGGGGTCTATGGCAGTGATGGCATGTTAGTTTCCTTGGGCTGCTATAACAAAGTACCACAAACTGGGTGGCTTAAAACCCCAGAAGTTTACTCTCTCACAGTTCCGAAGGCCAGAAGCCTGAGATTAAGTTGTTGGCCAGGCCATGCTCCTTTGGAAGGCTCTAGGGAGACTCCTTCCTTACCTTTTCAGAGCTTTGGGTAGTTTTCCCTGGCCTGTTGCTGCATCACTCCCATCTCTGCCTGAGCTTATCTACCCTTTTCTCTTAGAAGAGCGCCAGTCACTGGATTTAGGGCTCACCCTGACCTGGGGTGATCTCCCACCCAGTCTTTACTAATTACATCTGCAGAGATTCTATTTCCAAATAAAGTCATATTCTCAGGTTCCAGGTGGGCATGAATTTTCAGGGGACACTAACCCAGTACAGATGGCCGTGAGGGCGGCCCCATCCTGGGCCCTGTGCTCAGGCCCTGTGGGCTGTTATGGAGCCAAATGTGTTTGGCTGCTAAATTAAGAGAGTTGCAGAGAGAGCTGCAGCTGGTGAGACATTGTGCTCAGGTTATTTTGGGTGAGTGATAAGCAATCAAGATAGGAAGCGACAGCAGGCTTGTCGACTAGGAGCTGCTGGAGGCAGAAATGGGCTTGTTCCTGGCTTTATGGCAAACTGTTCTGCTCCTTTTTGGGAGATAGCACAGCTTTCCCAAGCTGTAACCTGACAATGGCGACTATCCTCCTGTCTGGGTTTGAAAACCTTTGACAGAATAAATTTCCATTTGCAAAAGAAGCCAGGGATACAATGGGTCTCAAACTGCCCTGTGTACCAGGGGACTTGTTAAAATTAGATTCCTGGGCTCCACCCTGGGGATTCCTACGCAGCAGGTCTAGAGTTGAGACCCTAGAATGTGCATTTGAATGAGGACCTTTTGTCTTGACCCAAGCCTGCACATATCAGATGGTTTTTTGAAGCATTTAGCTGATTTCAGCACCACTTAATTTGTCAGGAGGCCTAAATCAGAACCTACAGTTCTGAGAGAATGAGGGGCTTCCTGTGAGATTCACATTCATTTTACAGATGTTAAAACGGAGGCTCACTTGGTAAAAAAAAAAAAAAAATCAAGGAAAAATAAATGGAGGTTCAAATGGTGTTTTTAAGGCACCGAAACTCTTCTGTATGATACTGTGTTGGTGGATACAGGACTTTGCATTTGTTAACATCTGTAGAGCAGTGCAACACAAAAAGTGAACCCTCAAGTAAATGATGGACTTCAGTTAAGAATAACGTATCAGCATTGGTTCATCAGTGGTGATGAATGTACCACTAACGCAGATGTTAGTCATAGGAGAAGGGTGGGATATAGGGAACCCATATATTCTCTGCAAACCTAAACCTGCTCCAAAAAACAATGATGGCAAATCTCCTGAGACCCCAAGAGACTCACTGAGATACCCACAGCTAGAAAGTGGTGGAGTCAGGAATTGAACCTGGGCAGGCTTGACCACTCTGCCAAAGGCTCTTAACCCAAATTTAGATTCTAGGGTTGCCCAGCCTTTTCTCTCTTCTTGCCTGTCTCTCTGAGCTCCTTTACTCCTGCCTGTGTCTATGGACTTTGTTTTCTGTCCCACACAGTGGCCCTACTACCAAGGAGTAGGGGAGTCCTTGACCAGGACTGATTTTCTCCTGCTATAACCCTGACCTTGCTGATAGTAAACTGCCCCACGTTCGTGAGTCTAAATCCCACTAAGTGTCCTTCTGAGATGTCTCACTGGCCCCAAGGAAAAAGTCCAGCTTTCTTGGCATGCCATTCAAACCCCCTTGCGCTCTCAAGCCTCATCAACCCTACTGCCTCCTATTTCTTTGCAGTTTTTTTTGTTTTTTTTTTTTTTGGCCAAGGCTGGGTTTGAACCTGCCACCTCTGGTATATGAGGCCGGCGCTTTACTCCTTTAAGCCACAGGCACCGCCCTGCCTCCTATATCTTTAATGCCAGCGTGGCCTGCCTGGGATCTACCGTGAGACTCATTCTAAACATTAGGAGGTTTAAGGCTCTGGCAAGTCCTGCAAGTAAAGTGATCTGTTCAGTATTGTTTAATCCACAGCTTCCCAAATGTACTTAATGACATTTTCCCCAACAAATGTCACATATAGCTCTCTTTGCCCAGTGCAACCCAATGCTTCTGCCTATAAGGCCCTCCATCCCCCCTCCCTTCAGGAAAACCTTCCGCATCCTTCAGGATGCTACTCCAGGCCTCCCTTAGGGAATGAGTAGCTTTCTCCCTTGTCCCAGGACCATGTGGGCAGCATCCCCTCCCCATTGCCTACTGTGAGCCACTTGCTTGGAAAAAGTACCTGTGAGTAAATGAATGAATGATGACCTGGGGTCTTATATCGGTCATTTTTCTGCCCTGACCAGACCAGCGTGGTAGCAAAGGCAGCAGAGAGCACAATAGGAAGCAGAGGTGGGTGGCCCTGGGCTATGCCTTCATATTGCTGCCCTGAAAACCTCTAGGCTTTCAGACTTCAAGGCCTTTCCCCAGAACCCCTGAATGTCCTTCCAGATCATCCCCTGGGCCAGATTAAACATCAATTGCTTCCTTCACAGCTGCCTCAGAGCTGGAAACTTTCTTCAAAGGGTGGTGAAAGAGCTGCACAGTACAAAGGGGTCATAGGTTAGACCTCACCCAGGGGACACACAGCCTGTATGATAGGGAGTAAGCCCATTCTCCAGCTGGCTAGAGGCAGAAGGGCTGAGCTTGGGGGACTTGGCTCAGTTGCTTCACTGTTGGCCTGCAGGACCTAGGGCAGGTCTCCTATCTCCAACCTCCAATGAGGTTGGTCTTTGCTCTACAGTGATGAAGCGATGGGATAACCCGGAAGGTCTTAACAGAGATGAGGAAGCCAGACTCAGAGATGGGGTACAGTTCCACAACAGCAATTGTGCCCTGCATTCCCTCCTTTTGAAGTGTGCCCTGGCACAGTGGTGGTACATATAGCTCCTATCTCAAGGATGCCGGGGCCCGGGTCATTCATGACAACAGTAGACTTATTGTCCCAGGGCATGGCTTGCCTGGCATAAATTGGGAGTGGTGCTGCTCCCTGGGAGCAGCACATGGGTGGCAGAAACAGAGGAACTGCCCTTACATGGGAGAGCCCACTGTGCTGGGGTCCCAAGCAGCCCGCAAGGCTGGAGGCTATTTGAACAGAGGTGTGGCTCAGGGTTCACCTGGAACATCGAAATAGCTTCTGCCATCCACTAGGGTACGGGAAATTGTTCATGGCCCAGAGTAGCTCTACAACCACGGCAGGGAGGGCAGAGTCTCTCCCTGCCTCTTCTCCCACGCTTGGCTTTTGCATCCTTAAATTAATTTGAAACAGTTCCTTAAGAACCAATCCTGGGATGTTCCCCTTTCTTTATTCTGCAGTGAACTTGATGCTTGCTGCTATTCTCATTCTCCCTAAATCCTCCTGTGATTTAAGGCGAGAAGCTGATGATTTCTCCCTTTTTTTCACAATGGGCAGCAGAGGCCCAACAACATTTAATCTAACTGAAGATCCCAGTGTGTTGTGGCTGTCTCTGGAGAACCCCCAGGGAGCTGTCCTGGGGCAGGGGTGGTGCCAGCTAGGATCCTGCTCTGGTTCCTGCTGTCAGAGCCTCTGGTGGTGGTGGGGGTTCAGCTTTCTTGTGCTAGGCAGGCTGCACCTGAGTATCAGCAGGGCCCTATGGCCAGGGGGGCCTCGACCATTTTCCGGCCACGTATCACTTCTCAAAATAAATATGTAACATGGTAGTATGTACATGGGTTCTTTTTTTTTTTTTTTTTTTTTTT